ATAAGTTCGTAGGTTCATCAAAAATATTTTTTTGTGTATGTATAGGTACATTATGCCTTTTAATACATTTATATTATTTTAATATTGTAAATACTTCAGCATGTAGAAAGCTTAGTTTGAAAATACAAATAAATATGTAACAACCCTAATTCATATTTTCCTTTTTATGAAACTATCTAATATTTAACCGAATTAACAAAAATGTAAAAAAATTATAGTAGTTAATGACGAACAAGGTTATGCAAAGTAGACAATAAATTAACAAAAAAATGTGTAGACAATTAAATCATAAATCTCCCTGATAAGGTCACCTAGAGGAGCTAATATTTGGTAGATATATCTCCTTATACTTATAACAGTTTTCTAATACCTTCAGATTAGAATTATTTATCAATCATCCCCTTGTATCTTGTAAATAAAAATCAAATGTCAAATAGGGTTGAGGATACCGTGGATAGAGAAGGTTAGAAATAAAGAGGTATTAGAAAGAGTAAGAGAACAGAGGACTCTATTTGAAGTGAATAAGAAATAGGCGAGATAGGTTAGTAGGACACAATCTCAGGCATGAAGGTTTAGTCAGAGACATATTAGAGGTAGAAACGGAAGTTAGGAGGGGTAGAGGTATACCTAGATTCGATTACTGTTTGCAAATAGTTAAGAATAGGGGTTGTTCTGTTTTTAGGAACATGCGAAGATAGCCAACGTTTCGCCTTATTTTACTAATAAGACTTTTTCAAGGCTACAAACATTATAAGATCTTAATTATCCTTATGTAATTTAAACAATTGTTACCTACTATTCTACTCTACGCTTTGAAGTAGAAAATTTTTGTGAAAAAAGCCGACCGTAACACTAATTATAAGTGATTGATAAAATGATAAATTTAATTGTTTTCTTATCATTTCTACTTACAATTAATTAGATATTATATTTTGTATTGTGTGCAATCCCACGCGAAAGATAATATTTAGAAAATGTTCAAATTCTATTATATACTTAATAATAAATAATTTAAATACTTCAGAATACATTTTGAACATTAAACAATTATAAAACTGAATTTCAAAGCTTCGCCATTTTATTTTTGCATTTTTAAATATAGGTACTGCCTTTTTGGTTATTTTATATCAAGGTAATATCAGTTTGTATAATAGTTACGCAGTTAATATTTACTCATGTACATATTAGTTACTAATAAAATGTGATAATAACTAATAAGTTAGCACAATTAGTACTCCGTTCCTTAAAGACATTGAATTTTGACGTAATCAACACCAATTAGCGCCATATTATGGGGACTTGTTGACAGTGACCGCCATTTGCATGTACGTATGTTAACAAAACATCTGAACATGAAAAAATATATATAATAATTCTCGAAGGGAGGTTTTAATAAAAGACACTATTTCATTTTCACACAGTAGGTATTTGGGTAGATTATGTTAGATTTTCGGACTGAAAATTTTGGAAATAAGGGAGGAAGAGTGGTATTTTATAAAGCTGTGCAAGTTGACGCATTTTCGTGAGGGTCCCATGGGCAAAAATAAGGCGGGGTAGTTTGGAAAACTGTACCTACTTAAAATTCTATATTTTAGTGGGGTTCTATTTCGAGGTAGGTTTTCTCGAAATGGTCTTTTTCGGATTTGGATTTCATTCTGCTTCTCAAAACCTTACCTTGGATGAATACGAAATATTTGATGGGACATTATTGAGGTATGATAAATAAGTAAGGAATTATCATGAGAGTAATACAAGGATAACGTATGAAGTGAGATAAGAATGTAAGTGAATAGGATAGAAAGAGAAAAACTTGAAGTTAGGGTAGAGTATAGAATGGATACCACTCTTACAGAATGTGGTGAAGGACTCCCGCAATTAGCCCACACCAGGCTATCGCAATAATACTGAAAAAAATATGCCTAAACCTGTTTTTGTGGAGACCATCATGCAAATGGAGCTTTGCGTTTATTTAAAAAAAGTTATGAGTGTAGCAGAGCCCTTATATATGATTCCTCACTGATTTCAGGATGGTAAATGGGAGTTAAGACGGGTAGAGGTAGGCGTACACTAGATTACTGTTCCCAAATACCAAATTGTTAAGGTGTACCTAGTTTGTTAGAGTTTTTGAGAAATGCTAAGAAAACAGGAAGAAGTGAAGATGCATGATCAACCGGTATTGAGGCACTTTGATGATGAAAATGACCGAACTCTATTCCATCTTTAAATGTTGTCCTAATTTTAAGTCGCTAACGACTGAGCGACATAGCGTAGAGATTCAGACCACTGCTCAGCATTCGGAGGGGGGGGGCACCTGTTCGATTCTGGGTCCATCTGCCCTGGTTCAAGTTTTCTGTTACTAGCTTCAATCACTTAGTCTTTATTTCGTCCGCCTCATCTTTCTCAGCTCAACCTCCATCCACCCATTCCCATGATTCCTCACTGAATTCAGACCGGTAAAGTAGACGTACACTAGATTATCGTTCCCAAATACCAAATCGCTAAGGTGTACCTAGCTTGATAGAGTTTTTGAGAAATGCGAAGATTGGTTCAAAACAAGAGGAAGTGGATTAGTGGAGGTGCTAGCAACTGAGCGACATAGCGTAGAGATTTAAACCACTGCACAGCATTCGGGGGGGACACCGGTTCGATTCCGAGTCCATCTGCCCTTGTTCAAGTTTTTCTGTGACTTCCTTAAGATCACTTAGTCTTTATTTCATCCGCCTGATCTTTCTTAGCTCAACTACCACCTACCCATTTCCATGATTCCTCACTGGCTTCAGAATTGGAAATAGGGGTTAAGACGGGTAGAGGAAGACGTACACTAGATTACTCTTCCCAATTACCAAATCATTAAGGTGTGGGTTGTTCGAGTTTTGAGAAATGCGAAGATAAGTTCAAAACAGGAGGAAATGGAGTAGTGGAGGTGCGTGGTCAATCGGTGTTCAGGTATTTTGACGATGATAAAGACTGAACTCTACCCCATGTTTAAGTGTTGTCCTAATTTGAAGTCGCTAGCGACTGAGCGACATAGCATGGAGATTTAGACCACTCCTCAGCATTCAGGGGGGACACCGGCTCGATTCCGAGTCCATCTGCCCTTGTTCAAGTTTTCCTGTGACTTCCTTGAACACTTAGTCTTTATTTTGTCCGCCTCATCTTTCTTAGCTCAACCACCACCTACCCATTCCCATGATTCCTCACCCACTTCAGGATGGGAAATAGGGGTTAAGACGGATAGAGGTAGACGTACACTAGATTACTGTTCCCAAATACCAAATCATTAAGGTGTGGGTTGTTCGAGTTTTGAGAAATGCAAAGATTGGTTCAAAACAGGAGGAAGTGGAGGTGCGTGATCATCTTTAAATGTTGTCCTAATTTCAAGTCGCTAGCGACAGAGCGACATAGCCTAGAGGTTTAGACCACTGCTCAGGATTCAGGGGGGACACCGGCTCGATTTCGAGTCCATCTGCCCTTGTTCAAGTTTTCCTGTGACTTCCTGGATCACTTAGTCTTTATTTTGTCCGCCTCATTTTTCTTAGCTCAACCACCACCTACCCATTCCCATGATTCCTTACCGACTTCAGGATGGGAAATAGGGGTTAAGACGGGTAGAGGTAGACGAAATACCAAATCATTAAGGCGTGGGTTGTTCGAGTTTTGAGAAATGCGAAGATTGGTTCAAAACAGGAGGAAGTGGAGGTGCGTGATCAACTGGTAGTCAGGTATATTATTGGTTACCGAACTCTATTCCATCTTTAAATGTTGTCCTAATTTCAAGTCTCTAGCGACAGAGCGACATAGCCTAGAGGTTTAGACCACTGCTCAGCATTCAGGGGGAGGGGGCACCGGTTGGATTATGGGTTTTTATCAGCTTAGTTCGAGTCTTTCTGTGACTTCCTTAGATCACTTAGTCTTTATTTCGTCCGCCTCGTCTTTCTCAGTTCAACCATCACCCATCCATTCCCATGATTCCTTAAAGGAGGGTTTTCCTCTTTAGCCTCCGGTCTAGTCCGGAAGACTGCCCGCTCGTCACCATTAGCAGCTGCTGGGAAAGAACCACCCAAAAGTTTAAGTCGATGGAATTATCTATTGTAGTTTCCAAAGTAAACAGCGATTGCAAGCGGGTTAGGCCCCCCTTTTACCTTTTCTTTGGTATCGTATCATACAATAATGAAAATTAATAAATTACGATTTCAATTAGTTTGTAATATTCACACCCTGTACATTATTGAAGTTCTTGTTTATTTTGTAATAAATCTGTATCTGCTGCAGAAGCATATTTTGTTCGTGATTTTCCACAACCATATTGACAACAATCAAATCATAACAAAACCATAAAAATCTCGGTATCGTATATAATATTTATTTATAGCCCTTCTTGCGTAACTTCTTTTTTGGTAGGTCATTACATAAATTGTGTGTACCATTTTTATTAAAGTTGTTCTTGACTACCTTCGTACAATGTATATCAAGATCATGTGGGTCAATGTCTATACCGTGATAACACCTTCAGTGTGTTACGTATTATTTACTGTATTTACACATTTAATTCCGAACTAATTGTTTTTTAATATGATCTCGTGTTTTGTTGCATTTTAGCGTCGTATTAATGTCTACAAGTTAGACGTTTACATTACTGGTGGGGTTTACAGAAAGATAAGAAACTGTGAAGATTTACAACGTGAGTGCTATATTCATGTACATTGTAAATCTGCTTTATTGACGGTAAACTTGTCACTGGCAATGAGAAAATTGTTATTAAACATGATAAAGTTTCATTTTTAAATTTTCGTTTAATAAATGGAGCAACAATTCTCGCCATCATGCACAGAACTTTCGTCAGTTCCGTTTGCCTATTGTTTCAAAATAGGATGACGTCAATCAGCCATTTTTATTTGTCTGAGTTGACAGGTAGGCACTTTGATGAACATGATACTATAGGTATTTATAATAATTAATTTGAATGGATTTAGGAGATGATTGGGTTAGACCAAGTTAAGGTTACCATTTTGGAGAGGGACAAAACTGAAACTGTAAAAGTGCCTACAGGAAAACTGATTTGTTATTTATCAATCTTAATTTTGATTTCCGGATAATACATAAGGACTGGGAAGGATTATACTTTGTACCATTGAATGTATCATCAATCATTTCTTACTTCCTTGTCAACTATCTTTCAATTCTTCATGGGTTTCTTTTTTATCTACGTAAAATCCGGAAGACATTACTTATCATATGCAATATGTAAATCAAATGTAGTAAATTACTAATATTGTACAGTCTACCTTCCTATTTTGTGCATATATGCTTGCAAATTATTGAGATGCTGTACAATGATTAGACTTTGACGCTTTAACAACTGCTGTAGGTACATTAATATGCCAAATTTTGACACGAATTATTGTTTAGACATATTTTATTCCGCATTTCTAGAAATCGTATAAGACTTGGAAACCGCCGAATTCGCAGACGAGCGATCTTTAAAAATGGCGACTGCAACATAATCCAATCCAAACCTGCCAAAGACCGGATAAGATTCATCCAAGACTTCTTCACAACTTTGGTAGATACTCAATGGCGGTGGACGTTGTTGTGCTTTGCTCTGAGTTTCTTCGTTTCGTGGTTAATATTCGCTCTCATATGGTGGCTCATAGCGTTTTGCCACGGGGATTTAGAACCGGAACACCTTCCTGACAAACAGGGAGAATCGAATTGGACACCCTGCGTTGTCAACATATGGGGCTTCACGTCCTGTTACCTTTTCAGTATTGAAACGCAACATACCATTGGTTACGGTTCCAGATCGACAACGGAGGAATGTCCAGAAGCTGTGTTCATCATGTCTATGCAAAGTATTCTTGGCGTTATCATCCAGGCTCTCATGGTCGGCATTGTTTTTGCCAAAATGTCCAGGCCGAAACATCGTACTCAAACTTTACTGTTCTCCAAAAATGCCGTCGTATGTCAGAGAGACAACAAGCTTTGTCTCATGTTCAGAGTAGGAGACATGGCCAAGAGTCATATAATTGGGGCCAGCATCAAGGCCAGACTTATAAGATCAAAATCGACAACGGAAGGAGAGATTCTCAATTACTATCAGGAAGAATTAGAAATTAGCGCAGATGGGTGTGCTGGTGACCTCTTCTTTATATGGCCGATGACCATTGTTCACGTTATCGACGAGAACTCTCCACTTTATCATCTCACCGCGAGAGATATGTTGCAAGAAAGGTTTGAAATCGTTGTGATACTAGAAGGGACCATCGAAAGTACCGGTCAGAGTACCCAGGCCAGGTCGAGTTACATTAACAGCGAAATCCTCTGGGGACATCGTTTTGAAACGGTCGTGTTTTATAATAAGGAGAAACAGGGATACGAGGTGGATTTGTCGAAATTTAATAACACCATTGCAGTGGATACACCACTATGTTCGGGGGCGGAACTTGAAAGTTTCTACAAAACGCAGGAGAAAGGTAAGAAAGAACTTCTTATATTTCGTCGCCTGGTGTTGGTTCAAGCTTCAAATGTGAGCCTATTTGTGTGAATATATGTTTACGTTAGTCCAAAATCAAATATCGGATACATGACAGTAAAAAGACGTTGAGTGACACGAAATACGCTAATATTATAAAATCATAACTCTTAATCACTTTTTTGTGGGTAGGTTCAGTAGTTCAAATGTCTTATTCGATTGTTTTAGATCATTTGCTTCAAAAACTTGCTTGGCATTGTTGGATTTTAGTTTACTGTAGCTCTGACGTAATAATAGCCGCAGATTTACTTTTTATGGCGGTAAAACTAAATCGTTTAAACTTTAATGCTATTTTGTGTCACACAGTTAAAAGTATCTTGTAAAACATGAGTATAATAGGCAATAACTGGATATTCTGAATGCTCACCAGCTACGTAGATACTCGTTTGGTGTTGGTTTTTGTTTTGTAATGTGCTAACATTTTTGCAGATGGCGTTTTAAAGGAAATACCCCTCGCTGACGCACCTGCTCCTCCTGTAGGACATGTTGAAACGCAATAGTTTTTGTTTTTATTTTTCGATCGGTCTTTATCAAATATCGTAATTGTTGCTGCAAAAGCTTTAAAGGGTGTAGTTTGTCTTAGATTCAATAGATGAAACGTAAAAATTATTATATATTCTATTAAATTACACTTAGGTACCAATAATAATTGTGCTGTTATATGTACAATTCATATAATTACTAGGACTTATTTAGAAAATTACTTTATAATATAATTAATTGCTCATATATATTTTGTGCAGATACATATTCGACAAATATTTTGAGCTTTGAACTGCGTAAATATAAATACATTATTCGTGGCAAATGTTTTAACTTCTTTTTTGTTTTGCTAAGGCTTTTACTAACCCTAAACGCATACCTAATCTGTTTATATGTAATCGATGTATTGTAATCCTTTGTTAAATGTTTTTATTGTTATAAAATATACAACTTTACGTTACAACTTAAAAGCTGTTTTGCTTAAGGCCAATTTCTTTTTTTTATGGTCTGTACTTTTCTAGAGGGTCCATTTTTTGGTAACGGTTAAGTTACGCTTCTACCAAAATGATATTTGTGGTTCTAGTTTTAACAAAATATTATTGTTTATTCATTAACTGTTTTCAAGGTTCTATAAGCCAGCCGTGTTCACCCCAGTTTAAACAAAATCAATTAATGAAGTTCCTGTACCCCCCCACACCACCTTATTCGCCGGATTCAGGAATATTTAATAGTCCCATCACGGAAAGGCAACGTGCCAGGAATATTAATAGACAATTGAGTGCAGAGAGGGAGAGAACGAATATGTTATACTCAGTCGAAAATTGTCCTAGACTTTTGCCAAATGGTAAAGGGTACATCGACTCAGACGTAGACGATGAGGATCACTTACTTAAAGACTGCAGTAAAATCTAATGTAATGTAATCTAATTTTGTAAAAATATGTCATTCTTGTTAATTAAGTATTTATCTAACAATTAAATTAATTGTTCTGTTGTTAAATCGGAATTAAAATCTCGAATCTAACAAAAAATAATAAAACAAACTGTTTTTTTTTAACAGTCCTTAATATAATTCCTTGTTCAACTGATTCAATAGAATTACATGATACAGTACATAGTATTTTCTCTTGAACTCAAAAGAGAAGAGGAAATAAATATGAGCATTATATTTCACGATCGCTTTTTTATGTGGTACCAAACTTAAATCGTTGAAACCATGAGACTACGTATTTTTTTACAGAATTATCTCTTCTCAAAGCTTAATGAATATCTTTCATCTTCCAATAATTCTATAAGCGTTTATTTTTATACATTATAGTAAATTAAAGCCTGAAAGTATCTATTTGGTACCATATTTGAAAATTATATACTTCTCATCATGTTTTTGCTGAGTGTAAGGCAAATTATTTGCTTTAGAGTTTAATGGGTTGCATAATAAATTTCTGTTTTTAAATTTTATTCATTTCGGTATTTATTGGACATTTTTGCCGTTTGAAATAAGAATTAACTAATAAACGTTTTACTACTTTTGGACATCCTAAAAGTAAGAACAACTACTTGTACATCCCTGTCTCTTTTTCCATTTAAAGGCTAACTTCACTTTCATTATCTTGATGCAACGTCAAAATCAGCTGTAATCTTTATCATTAAGCTGTCAAGCAGTGACTAATTTTACTTTAAATAAAGGATTTTGGAGTTTAATCAACTTTAAAAAGTCTCCATTTAATTAGTTTATTGACTTGTTGTTTCTGTTAAACTTATTTACTTGTATAATAAAGCAAAAAATCATGTTTCGATCCACAGCCTTTGATAAATGTTTAGGTAAGTCTTGTAATTGTTAAATAAGTAAATTATTTCTAAATGAATGAATATTTTCGTTAGATAAGGCTACAAGTAACTTATTAATGGAAGCTGACTGGCCTTCAATTTTGCAAATTTGTGATTTAGTTCGACAAAACGATGTACAGTAAGTTATATACGAACAGTAAACAAACGATTCATAAATGCTAATTTTTCCAATTTTTTTAGACCAAAATACGTTTTCACTTCTTTAAGGAAAAAACTGTTTTCTCCAAATCCACATACTGCATACTACGCCCTACAAGTTTTAGAAAGTTTGGTAAAAAATTGTGGTATGCTTTTGAAAGTTATTGTGTAATTTATTCTTTATAAGTTAATTTTGTACAGGTGCCCCTATTCACGATGAGCTTACTACAAAAGCAAATTGTGATATGCTTCTTGAGTTGACCAAAAAAACTCAACATGAAAATGTAAGACAAAAACTTCTAGAACTGATTCAAGTGTGGAACTTTGCATTCAGAAAAAATCCTAAACACAACTCCCTGAAGGTAATTACCTACTAATATATTTAATACTGAATATTCTGTCATAAGTAGAGTTGTTACTCAATCATTAAATCAATAATGTATTTTAATTTAATTATATTTAGGAACTTATGAATTCACTGAAAGCTGACGGTTACAAGTTTCCAACATTACGTGAATCTGACGCGATGTTTATGTCCGATTCCGCCCCAGCATGGGCGGATGGCGACGTTTGCCATCGTTGTAGGGTTGCCTTTAGTATGGTTCAACGTAAACATCACTGTCGTGCATGTGGTCAAGTCTTTTGTGGCCAGTGTTCACAAAAGACCATCAGTCTACCAAAGTTTGGCATAGAAAAAGAGGTAGCTGTGCTTATAGAGGTGCTTGGTAAAAACTAATTACAATTTATTTTAGGTAAGGGTGTGTGATTCATGCTTTGCCCAAGAAACACGACCGGCGACTTCCAAGACCAATTCAGGTAAACAGGAAGATAGTCAATTGCCTGCTGAGTATTTGGCAAGTTCACTGGCCCAGCAGAGTCAGGTAATACAATTTAAATAAATGAAATTCAATGAAATTTAAAAATACAAACGTTTGTCCACTAATAGATGCCACCCAGGAAAACTGAAGACGAACTACGGGAAGAAGAAGAGCTCAATTTGGCCATTGCCTTAAGTCAGTCTGAAGCTGAAGCAAAGGAGAAAGAAAAAATGAAAGTTACAGCTGAGCTTTTTACTCCCAACAAAGGTACAAACTTTTTTAATTTGCTATTGGGCTTAAAAAATTACTAATACTTTCCAATTTTAGTTGTTTCAGAAGCTCGCCCTAAAGAACGCAGTCCGTCACCTCCTTCAGAGGAGCAAACAAATCCAGAATTGGCTCGTTATCTGGACCGTACGTACTGGGAAAACCGTCAAACCACCGAACAGAATGATACCAAACGTGCTACAAGCCCATCAGCTCCTGCTACAGCCCCTGTTCAAAATAACGTCTCAAAACCGCAGACCAATGGTATCTCAGATTCAGAATTGAACGATTTCATCGAAACCCTCAAGTCTCAAGTTGAAATATTCATTAATCGAATGAAGAGCAATTCGAGCCGTGGTCGTTCAATTGCTTGTGACAGCAGCGTCCAAACACTTTTTATGAACATCACCGCCATGCATTCTCAATTGCTTCGTTATATTCAGCAGCATGATGATCAAAGACTCTACTACGAACGACTCCAGGACAAACTGACTCAAGTAAAGGATGCGCGCGCAGCTCTAGATGCTTTGCGTGAAGAACATCGCGAAAAATTGAGGAAACAGGCAGAAGAAGCAGAACGTCAAAGACAGCAACAAATGGCCCATAAACTGGAAATTATGCGTAAGAAGAAGCAAGAATATCTCCAGTACCAAAGACAGTTGGCTTTACAACGTATACAGGAACAAGAACGCGAAATGCAAATGAGACAAGAACAACAGAAGCAGCAGTACCTAGTTGGTTCACAATTTGGAACGTTCAGTGGCTCCCCAGCTCACAATCAGCCCTTCCCTCCTCCCCAACCTTCTAATTCTGTTCCTTACAACTATTCATATCCCCAAATGTCTTTACCTCCCAATATGCCTGGGCCTGCTTCTGGTGGACCTGGTCCTCAACCTATGTGGAATAATGCAAACATGAGAATGGCATCAATGCCTCCTGGATTTGGTCCTGGCGCCATTCCCCAAGGGGTGTTACAGAAGAATCAATCCCAAGGTTTGCCACCACCTGGCCAGAACACGCCTCTTCCCAATCAGGTGTTATCTCAGTCTGCCCAAAGTCTGCCTCAAATTCCTCAAGGTTTACCGCAATCTGGACCGCCAGGTATGCCTCAGCCTGGACCACCAGGTTTGCCTCAGCATGGTCCAGGTCTGCCTCAGCCTGGACAAAATTTGCCTCCCCACCCAGGACAAGGTTTACCACACGCTGGTCCTAGTATTCCGCCTCCTGAGCAACGTGGGCATCCACAAAGTTTGCCCCAACATTTACAGAATTTGTCCCTGACCCAAGGACAATATCAGCCACAAGGGGGGCAAGGATCGAATCACAACGAAGACGCGCAAACTGCTGAATTAATTTCTTTTGATTAATATAAAAGTTTAACAATGAAAATATTCGATTAATGTAACTATTAATATAACAGTTTAACAATGAAATTATTGAGTACTCACAATGTCCTATATATAATATATGAATGTAAACTATTTTTCCTTCCCTACACTTAATTGTAAACAGTGATTTTATGCATGCTTTTATTTTATTACCAAATTAGTTCTAGTTTTAGGTTTTGCATTATTCAAAAATATATATACATGTAGCTCAATAAATTGCATTTACCTTTTTGTTAAAATTAATAGATAGAATGTATTATTATTATACCAGAGCCTCCAAAAAATTATGTGGATAATATAATTATTGGAATATTATGTTTGTGTTTTACTGAGTTTTGATGAGAATGGTAAAAAGGGATCTGTAAGGGGTTTACAGAA